CACACACACACACACACACACACACACACACACACACACACACATTCATTTTACCCAACAAAGAAGAAGGAGGGAAAGGGATTAAGGGAGAGAGTGAGGTTGGGGGGAAGGGAATTAAGATAGTCAGTGGTCATAAGCAAAACAGATTCTTACAGAGGGGACAGGGAAATAGGAGGAAAATATAAAAGAATAGGTTGGAGGAAAATTAATTATTAATGATAACTGTGAATGTGAATTGAATGAACTCACCCATAAAATGGAAGGAGGATAGCATAATGGATCAGAAACTAGAATCCAACAATATGTTGTTTGCAAGATACAGAGAGAGTTAAAGATAGCATGATAAAAAAAATTAGAGGAGCACAGGAGAAATTACCTGTCACAACTATGGCTAGAGGAAGAGTTCATAACCAAATAAATCATGGAGAGGCTCACAGGAGGTAAAATGAACAATTTCAATTACATAAATTTTTAAAAAATTTTGTACAAACAAAACCAATGTAGCTAAAATTAAAAGAGAAGTAGGGAATTGGGATAAAGTATTTGTGGCAAGTTTCTCTGATAAAGGTCTCATTTCTAAGTTATATAGGGAACTGAGTCAAATTTATAAGAATAAGAGCCATTTGTCAATTGAAAAATGGTCAAAGAATGAATAGGCAGTTTTTAAAGTAAGAAATCCAAGCTATCAATAGCCATATGAAAAATGCTAACAGAGAAATGCAAGGTAAAATATCTCTAACCCATCGGATTGGCTAAACTGACAAAACCCAAAAATGACAAATGCTGAGGGGCTGGGGGAAAACAGCTTCTTTAATGCACTGTTGGTAGAACTATGAACTAGTCTAACCATTCTGGAAAGCAATTTGGAGCTATGCCCCAAGAGCTATTAAACTGCAAACCCTTTGACTCAGCAATATCTCTTCTAGGCCTATACCCCAAAGAGAGAGGAAAAGGATGCCTATGTCCAAAAATATTTATAGCAGCTCTTTGTGTGGTAACAAAGAATTAGAAACTAAGGAGATGCCCTTAATAACCTCTTTGTTGAGCATTTAGAAAACTTGCTAAATGCTATCCGGTTATGGAAGAGGTCAGTTCTGTTTCCAAGGTGTTCCTCCAGAATTGCCATACCTTAAATCTCTTACACTGCAGCGAGGAGGAGATTGCCTTGAACAATATCTTGTGCCATTCCTATGTCAACAACTCTAGACATATTGCAATGAATTTGGAAGGAATATGCCAACAAAGGGGGTAGCTGCCAGGTGTAATAACAACAGCCAGTGGACTCCATTTGACTGGTTCTTTTCCCTCATTTCTATGTCTGGCTGGATCTGAAACTTACTCCAGTTGGTCATAACAATTTTAATCGTATTTCTTTAGTTCTATGTTCTCGTTAAACATTCACAGGTCACATGCTCCCAGTTATAGCATCCCTCAGATTCTAAGCTTCCTTTCTACTATCAGATCACCCTTCAGATGAAGTAAGCCAATAGTCATTGTCTTGAGTAGAACAAAAGGGAAAACTGAAGAGGTAGAACAAGACTTATTCAATCTTGGAGCAACCTTGACAATTAAAACTGATATGACAAGCACATTTTTATAAAATCACAAGGACACATGAGTCAACATGTTTTAGAAGGTAAAACAGAGATGTTGCAATTTGAGTATATAAATCTAGAAACCACAAAATATTATTACACCCTTGACATTTTCCCACTATTGCTCAATCTATTCCTCTTTTAAAACCTATAAAAATATAAAGATGTGCCTTGTAGAACTGGAGCAGCTCTCAGAGCAAAATTTCTCCTTTTTAAAAACAAGTAAGGTCTTATTTGGCTTATGTGATTGGATTTGGTACCTGGTTTATGACACTTCTTATACCTCCTACTAGACTAAATTCTCTGAAATTCATTGGGCACAAGAAATGGGAAACCATTAAAGGCTTTTGAACATGTAAGTAACATGATAAAAGTGGTATTTATAAAAAACAGATTCAACAAATAATTTGATACAGAAGCATTTAAGTGCCTGCTCTGCTGGGGTGGTGGTGGTGGTGGTGGTGGTAGTGTGTGGGGGGGGCAGAGTGGGGTGAGGTTGTGGTGGGTGTGAGGAGATACAACATTTAGGTAAAGACCAACCCCAGGGAAGTAGCACAGTATTAATCAGCAAATCAACAAACATTCATTAAACTTCTCTTTTGTGCCATCACTGTGCCAGACATTGAAGACATGTAGGCAAAAGTTTAGTAGTCAAAGAGTTTACAGTATAGCTGGAGGAGAAAAAACACATATTAAAAAATATGTAGATTAGATACAAGATAATTTTGGGGGGAGAAGGGGGAGGCACAAACGTCTGAGGGGAACATGAAAAGCTTCATGCACAAGGTGGTGCTGAGATAAACGTTGAAGGAAAATAGAGATTCTAAGAGACAAAGATGATAAGAAAGTACATTTCAGGGGTAGAGGACAGCCAATGCAAAGTCATGGAGAAGAGAGATAAACCGCCTTGTTTGAGGAGCAGTAAGAAGGCCAATTTGACTTGACAATACTGTACGTCAAAGAGAATCTGATGAGATTGGAAAGGTTGGTTGAGGCCAGGCACTTTAAATGCCAAACAAAGGAGTTTATGTTTGCTCCTCTAGAAGCCTCTGGAATCCATCAAATAGTAGAGTGACAGGGTTAGACCTGGGATTTAGGAAAACTGATTTAGCAGCTGGGTGGAATATGGATTGAAATGGGTGGGGGGCCCAGACTTGAAGCAAGGAGACAAATTAGGAGAGTCTTTTTTTTTTCCTTTTCCTTTGTTTTGTTTTATTGATTCATTCTCATGCTTCCTCCCATTAGTTCTAACTGTTCTTTAGATCATGACTAATGGGAAAATATGCTTACTATGATATATCAGATTGCATGCCATGTTGGGTGGCAGAGAGGAGGGGGAGAAAAATTTAAAACTCAAAATCTTACACAAGTGAATGATGGAAACTAAAAATAAGTTTGTTTGTTTTTTTTAAAAGTCACAGATCCCAATTATCCCTTCTAAAGAATCAATAGAGGGGGCAGCTAGGTGGTATAGTAGACAGAGCCCCCACCCTGGATTCAGGAGGACCGAAGTTCAAATCCAGCCTCAGACATATAACACAACTAGCTGTGTGACCCTGGGCAAGTCACCCAACCCCCATTGCGAAAAAACAGTAACAACAACAATAGATCCAGAGGCTGAAGGGACCTTAGAAGCCATCTAATCCAACCCTGGGTTTTAGATGGATATCTAGTTAGATAGATAGATAGAAAGCAAATGGAGAATTCAGGGAGTGGTTTGCCTATGGGGACAAAAGGGATAAATAATAGAACTTGGATTTGAAACCCAGTGTTAGGATGCCAAACCTGGAGCTCTTCATGCTGCTTCCACTTTGGGAGGACTCCCACTGCCCCCCCCCCAAAAAAAGCCCCGTACCAATTACTGTCTGAGATTCCCTTCCCTGAGCCCTCCCCCATCTAAAAACAAAGTCTGATATCACTGTTAACTTCACCCTCCCCAATAATTTACAGAAGACAAAGGCAGCACACCTTTGATACATCCAAGATATACTTCTCTTTAAGAGGAATTAAGGCAGACCTGCACACCTTGGTGATACATAGAGACAAATTAAAGCAGGCTAAACTTCTTCAGGCTGCAGAGATAGGTGGAGGGTTGCCACACAGTGAGGAAGAGGCAGAGGTCCTCATATTGTTGCCGCTTATTGCATGGCGGCAGTCGGCTGTGCTGGCGTGTGGCTGCACTCACTTTGCCCCTGCCAAGTTACACAACTGGCACAGAAGTGACTAGTGGAAGGCGGGTTTAAGCTGGCATGGACAAAGCACTTGTTACGCCTTTACTTTCTTTACAAGCAAGAAGTAGGGATTAGCCAAAGAGTGAAGATAACACCAAAGCCTTTGTCGTTGCCTTCCGCAGTTCAAGGAGTGACTTTGTCCAAGTCCATTCTGTATTGTCTCTCCAGCAGGGCTGTTTTTCATGGAGATACTTCTTGGGGTCATAGATCATAGGAATTTTAAACCATAAAACACCTTGACTGCCCCTACCAGGGCCTGCCATTGGGAAACCTTCCCCCATCTTCTGGTATGTGTATTTCTTTGTTGGCTTCAGAAGTGATGCCAGTCCAATCCTTGATTCTCCTGGTCTTAGATGTCCAATTCTCCATCGAGTTCTGGTCTGTCACAAATGGTACTCTTTCAGTTCAGTAACTTCAGTTTTTTTAACCTATTCAGGTTTATACTCAGCTTTGCTGGGCAAAGCCCCGCTTTTTAACGTAGATCAAAGCTGCTAGGTGTTGGCATTATCCTTAATACCGTAGAGCTACAAATTAGGAGATTCTTTCAAGGTAACAGATGATGAGGACTTGACCAAGAGTGGTGGTTGTATGAGTAAAGTGAAGGGTGCGGATAGGAGAGACATTGGTGTTACAGTAGATAAAGCACGGGTTCTAGAATTAGTGGACATAAGTTCAAATTCTGCTATTGGTACTTCCTACCCATGTGACCTTAGGCAAGACCTCCATGGACCTCAGTTTCCTCATCTGTAAAATGGAATTGGACTAGAGGGCCTCTGATATCCTGTTTAGCTCTAGACCTGTTTCCCTGTAATCAAGGAAGTTAATATTTCCCTAGTAGGGGAATAAAACTCCAAAAACAGACAAACAAAAAATAAAAACAAGGAGTATCTATGACCTAAAGAGGAGTACTTGCTTGGAGTATCTGCACTAAAAGGCCGAAGTGGGACTGGATGGGCTACTGGGGATGCAATCTCTGTGTGAGCCAGCAGAGGGCACTCCTAGACCAAGCTGTTACCCAGGCAGTTCCCTTTGCACTGGGAAGTTCAGGACCTCATAGAGAGTCAGAAGTTCCATTCAGTCCTACTCACAATAAATGGCATTGAGACTGCCATAAGAGCCCATACACACATCAGTTCCCAAGAGCTCATAACATCCATTCCCACAATATACTCACCCTGGTTATCCACCACAACTGTGATCCAGACAGGAATCTTTGATCTATCTCCCCCTGAGCAAGGATGCCTCTTTCCTTGGTGCTACCCACTGAAACACCCAATGAAAACTGGAATGCCCTTATGGACCTGTTGGAAGTCTCCTGTTAAGAAAGTAACCTGGTCTCTGGTATCTAGCAGCCATTATATAGTTGGCAACAGCTTCCCCCTTTCCTAAGCATTGTGACTGGAACCTCTGGCTCTGTTAGGGGCCTACAGTTAGGATGACTTGAGCCCAGAGGAACTTGGCCCTAGGGGGACTTATCCCAGAAGTCCCTCGAGTTTGTCTATAAAGACTTGGGTGACTAATGACTATCTAGTGGAGTGGGAACTTTTGGCATGCCCTAAACTTGGGTGGGGCAGAAGATCCCTTACTGCCCTGGTCCTGCATGTTCTGATATAATTGTTCTTGAATTCCTATAGGCTGGCAAATGATCCTCTTCTTATCAAGGCTATGTGGTAGGAGTCACACCCAAACTCCTTACTACAGAGGATCTTGTCACTCTCCTCCCACTTAGCAGGAGTGGGGCACCTCGACTTGCAATCCCTAAAGTACCTATTTATATAGATATCTTTATTTGCTAGAATAATTACTAGAATGGTCCTGTCTCCTGCTTAAATTTAATCAGTTGGTCTGCCCAAGTCTGCATGGTGGTATAGCATGGGAGGCCCATAGCTAAAGCTTGACTCCACCCAGGGGGCTTTTCCAGAAGGCAAGAACTAATTACTTCCAATAGAGGTCTGGTCATAGAATGTGGGGGCCATGGAGGTGACATGTAGCTCTCATCTTCCAAACCCAATTCTTTTAGGAACTTTACTGCCTCAACTGCTGGGCCTGATCAGAGAACCAGCTATAGGAAATTCATCTTTATGGGGCCAAGTATGCACAATTCTCTATCTTAGCTATCTAAAAAGAAATGAAGGACAATCTCTACCTGGAATCTCTAATTTACTTAACTGGCTTCACAAAGTAAGTACTTTGTAAGCTACTCAAGTTGATAGAATTCTGTTTGAAAGAGGATCTCTGAATTAGTTTCATTAGACTGTACCCTCAACAACTATTATAGCAGTGACTCACCAACTTCTCTTGCAACCTTTCAAGTTCCTTGGTGGTGAAAGCCCACCTACCTTCTGAGTTCTTGGTGGAAGAAATCATACTGTAGGAGTTACTAATAGGGCAAAATATTTCTTACCACTGGTGACCATTCCTAATTAATTCTCTCTCTTTCTTTCTTTCTCTCCCCCAATTTTGTTTCCTTATAGCCCTGATTTCAATGAGACATGACAATTCTCCAGCCTGACCTCTGGGTCACAGATATTTCTCACCAGTAGCTTGTCAATCCCCTTCCCTGTTGCAAACCCCCTTCCATTTGTGCCGTTACTCAGTTTATAAGATACCTCTCTGCCTTAAGGACATAGACCTTAAAAAACAAGATATCTGTCTCTAGTTACTAAATGTGCACAGACAGTTTCTTTCCTTTTCCCTGTGCTGGCAATCCTGCTTTTCTAGGCCAATTAATAATAACCAAGGAATGCTTACCCTGGCAGCATCCTTATTGAGCCCTAGGCTAATCCCATCGGATCAGTGAAAGCCTCCTCTCTGTCCCATTGAGAGGAGTGCCCACATAAGTGGACAGTGGCCACAGGGTGCCAAGCTAACATATCTGGCCATCTGAGATGCCCTTCCCTCTACATTTTCATTCTCTCACTTCAACCATGAAGTGAGCCATGAAATCATTCCATTCTAGCCCAATTCTACTAACACCAAATATTTTAGGCCAGGCCGAATTTAGGTGAGTAAGATGGTTCAGGTTTGGGATTGGAATGAAATTAAACCCTTCTAGACCACCTGACATCTAACAAAATTACTGTTAAGTAAACAGTATCATGGAAGGAAAATCAAGTAAGGATACAACACTAGTTCAATGGTTTAGATATCCAGCTGTAACTACTGATTTATCTTGAGCTCACCTTCTTTTCAGAAGAACTGAGATACACTGCCATTTAGCTATACATTCCCTATATTTTACTTACAAGGCTGATATTTTCAATCTATGTATAAGACATTTATATCCAATCAGTTGAATATTATTAGGTTCAAACCAAAGTCCTAGCCTGTCAAGATCTTTTTGGGTCCTGACTGTCTTCCAATACGTTTGCTATTCCTTCCAGCTTTGTGGCACCTATCAGTTTGATAAGCACAATATCTGTGACTTTGTCTAAGTCAATGATAAAACATTTTACATAGGAGGGAGCCAAGAAAAGACTCCTGGGAACTCCACTGGAGACCTCCTTCCAAGTTGACATTAAGCCATTCATTAATGATGACTCTTTGCACTCAACCACTTAACCACTTCTGACTCCATCTAAGTATATTACCATCTGGCTCACATCTTTTTCATAAGAATAACACGATCTATTTTATGAAATGCTTTGCTGAAATATAAGTAAACAAAGTTTATTGTATTTCTCTGTCAAAAAAAAAAAGGAAGTGAGGCAAAAACAATATCAAGGTTACAATTGGTTAAGAAGAAATGAATGTGGTACCACCAATCAAAATAGTGATGTTAAGAGGAGCAGATATAAAGGAAAGATAATGAGCTCTTTTTTGGGTACATAATGAATTTCTGACACTAGTGGGACAACCAGATGTGGTTGACTACTAGAGAAGTGGGTTTGAGTTTAGAAGAGAGATCTGGATTTACATTGATATTTCAGGTGGTCTAGAAGTGTTTAATTTCATTCCAATCCCAAACCCGAACCATCTTACTTACCTAAATGTCATTTCATCGATGTGGTTGCTCTTCTTCTACAGATAACAAATACAATCCCATTCTTTCTTGTCCCAAATGACTCTTGTCCATGTCCTCTCATAAATCCTCTGCACAAAGTCTACCCAATGCTCTGGGCCTTCCTCTAGAATTTTTGGCCATTGCATGGATACCAGCAAAACAAGAAGGTTGCTAAATGGTTAACTCTTGCTCAAACTATATGACCAGGATACTTCTTTTTCTAATCCTACATCTCTCTGACATCCTTTAGGTTACTTCCTCTGCACAATTCTTTGTTGATAACATATTGTAGCCTACTCATGCCCTTTTTGTACTGCCCTTTGGGTGACCCACAACTTTAATTCTTCAGATTTTTGTTGCCTGTGATTCAGTCAAACCTCTTCATTGAAAGAAAATTGATAAGTCTTTGTAAAGGGTATGTCTGTTTCAATGATAGCCTTGAGATAATTAAAAGCACTACATGATCTCCCGAAGTCAGTTTAACATATTTCTTTCATTCCTGTCTGATTCTGGGCCTAACTCATTGTTGTGTCAAGATATCTGTTTAAGATGTGTGCAGCCACCTCTGTGGGTTATCCATCCAAGTCTATGTCACAGTCTGGACAAAGGTCATTCTTCGTCTCCTTGTTTTTGTTTGTTTCTTTCTTGGAGTGTGGATATTTAGGCCAAAAACTGAGTGATTACCCGTCTCAATTAGGACATCTTGAAGGGCTCTGGAACTTGATGCAGTTATCACAATGCCATCTGCAAACAGGAATCATGGAGAGAAACTCACCATCCATAGAGAATATCCCTTCCATTTGGACTCTGCACTAGACAGCCTCCATTATGATAGAAAACACCTTCGATGAAGATATGTCTCCTTGTTTTATGCCTCACTTGATATTAAGAGAAACATTGGATAACGTTATCTCTGTTATTACATCTTTAAAGTAATCGTGTATGTGTAATATGAGTTATGATAGTAGTGTGCCTATGGGGTCCCCTATTTAGTCAGGACCATGCAGATTATGTCTGTCAATCAACCCACTCCCCATACCACAGAGCTTTGCTCTGCTCCTCCCTCCCTGATCTAGGAATAAAAAAAATTGAGGGTGTGTGTGGAGAGAAATTAAAGAATTAATAAGAATAGAATAGAATAGAATTTTAGGAAAGAGCCAGATTAGGTTACATGCCAAGATTTTTGTGGTTTCCAGAGAAGGCCATAAAAGACTCTGAAAAGAGCGAGATAGTGGATGGGATGTGAGCCCTTGGAACATGGCTTCTAAATGAAACTCACTTCCTTTTGGTAAATATTCCTACAGTTCTTCATCCTTATTTCCCCATCCAGTTCATCGCAAAATATTTAGTGCACAAAAAAACAGATCAATCAACTCAGATTTTAAAAAGAAATATAGAGGAGATTAAAATATAGGAAGTGTGGAATAAATAGAAAAGCATGTCAAATATTCATTAAAAACAGTATCAGGTGTGTTTATTAATAATAATAATAATAAAAAGAATTAGTATTCATATAGAATTTTAAGAATTGTAGAATACTGTACATAAGCTATCTCATATGAACATACTTAAGTTTAGAATGCACTCAAGATGATGAAGCAAGCTAAGGACAACACAAAAAAAGGTGGATTGGATTTTTTCTTTTGGCTACATTGGGGAAAAGAGGACAGTCAGAGAAGGAATAGAACCATTATTCAGCATAGATGAGATGATGATAACAAATAGCAGAGAGAAGGCAGCTCTGCACTGACAGGAAGTGAGGGGCTGCTGAAGGCTTTTGAGCAGAGCAGTTATATGACATCATGTACAGAAAGCATTAATCTGTCAGTGATGCTTAAGAGTAGTTTTCAATTCAGGGTAAATTTGTTAATGCACTATTAAATAAAGCATACTACATAAAGAATTCTAAGCATATATAGTTCTAAGTAATTTTTAAGTTATGTTATTTCCCATTAGAGACTTGTGATGATCAAGTGTGAAGTTAGAAGTACTATTATATTTTCGATCAACACTTTTAATATATATTTTATAACATTGACATACCCTCAATCAGTTTCATATTCATCCTAATCCTTTTTAGATATGTATATTAAAACATTTTTGTAAAGCAACTTTGTACAAGGAATATAATTTATTTTTATAATTTTGTAACTTCAAAATAATCACTTAATTTGGAAGTAACTTTAAAAGAAGAGACTGGAGGCTGGGAGGCCAGAGAAGGGTTTGGAGTGCTCCAGAGATAAAGGGAAGGGGAAGGGGAAAAGGAAATACTGTCAGCATTGTGCTAAGCACTTTGCACACATTCATTTGAGGGAAGGGCATGTGTAATGATGGGAAGAACCGAAGGGTAGTACAAAGAATGAGAAGAGGGGCAGCTAGGTGGCACAGTGGATAGAGCACCAGCCCTAAAGTCAGGAGGACCTGAGTTCAAATCCGGCCTCAAACCAAACACTTGACACTTACTAGCTGGGTGACCCTGAGCAAGTCACTTAACCCCAA